AATGTCAGTTTTATCAACGCTTAAATTATGACTGTTTTAGTTTACTAATATTCTTATTATTATACAATTATACAATTACCATTAATTTAAATGTAAATTAGAAGAAGAAAAAGAATTGAAAAAAGCTAAAAGGTCCAAAAATAAAGCTATCAAGGAGGCAGAAAAATAATTAAAAAAGGAAAACTTGAAGAAAAAAAGAAACAAAAAGCTCTTAAAATAAAAAAAAGTCCAAGTAATTTAAATAATTAATTTAATTTTTTTGTTTGTGTAATATGTTATAACAAGACTTGAACTATTTAAACGTTAAATTTTAACAAACTGTATATTTTAGAATAAATATTTAATTTATTTATTCTAATATATTTTCAGTTTATTTAAAATTAGTAAGCACTTCATAACCTAATCATGATTAAATTTGAGGGTCAGAAATTGGGGCTACGGTCAGGGTCAGAAACTGCCACACGAAGAATTCTGAGGGTCAGAAACTGAGCTCTTAATGTCAATTTTTAAAACGTCAATTTAAAAATATAAATTTAGTTCAAATAATTTTTTTTATGCGCATTACTTTATTTTAAAAATCCTAAACTAATAGATAAAATTAAATTTTCTTCATTAAGTTAAGTTTTATATTAATTATTATAGTTTAACCTCCACCGTCACTCTAAAAGGTCAGAAACTGGGCCCCTTACCTTATAGGTTATTAAAAATAATTGGAATTTTTGAATTGTAGACATGGGTACAGGACAACATCTGTCGGGTCATCTAGTATATATATATATATATATATATATATATATAAGATAACTATTCCTTCCAAAAAACATATTTATTTTTTTCAAATTTTTTTTTTCAAATTTCCTTAAAATTTGCATCCTCCCATTGCAGCATCATCATTACCTCACCACTTTTTACTCTACCACTCCGGCGCACCACCATGTCAACCTGACCAAACCGTCCGTCCGCCGTCTAACCGTCCTCCACCGCCGTCCGCCGTCCGCCTTCGTCTAATAAAGCGCGCCGTTCGCCTCGGACGCCTCTTAGTATCAAATCGACCATTGTTCGCGATGGCAGTGCACACGTTCCTCGCCATTCTGGCAGCCCTCGTCGCATTCATATTATACATAGTGAAATTGTACACACCGGAAAAGGACAACCACCAGAAATTAATAATAATAGATAACCACCACCATCACCATCAGAAGTTACCCTTACCCGAGCCCCCAGGGCCAAAGCCGATTCCGATTCTGGGTAACCTCCATCTCTTAGGGAAGTACGAGGTGCCCTTTCAGGGTTTTACCGATTTGGCCAAAAAGTATGGGGATGTTTATAAGTTGAAGTTGGGTGCTACTCCTTGTTTGGTGGTTAATAGCGTCGAGAAAATAAGAGAGGTGCTGAATCAGAACGGGAAGTTCTTCGGAGGCAGGCCGGATTTTATTCGGTTTAATAAGCTGTTTGGGGTGACAGGAATAATTGTGAGTAGGAATTGCATGTTTTTTTTTAATTTCAAACAGTGATTGATAGTGACAAACAAATATTTTATGTGTTACAAAAAAATTAGTACTTTTTATGAAATAGGCGTCGTGTTGCGTATTTTTTAATTATAATATTAATTATATACATCAAATGTTAAAGTTGTTAATTAATATAATCACTTGGTGCTTTTTATTTACAAAATTTATAACATTTTTGTTACCCACTATACTCGCTATATAATTTGAAGCATTTAAATAAAATGCACTAACATTATTTTGTTTCGTCCCTTCAAAATTGAGTAGTGCTTTTCATTTTTTTAATTTTTTTTATTCAAAGCATTTGACCGTGTAATCATTTATCCTCTTAGTCAATTCAAAATTAAGTAGTGCTTTTCATTTTTTTTAAGGCATTTGACCGTGTGATCATTTAGCCTCTTATTACAGCGTTAATATTTTACATATTTATAATTATTTTAATTATTTTGTTTCGTCCCTTCAAAATTAAGTAATGCTTTTCATTTTTTTTAAATTTTTTTTCATTTATGGCATTTGACCGTGTGATTATTTAGTCTCTTATTACAGAGTTAATATTTTATATATTTATAATTAACAGAGATATACATATTTAACAAAGTTGTTTGCTACATATGATACAATAACTTATTCATTACCTTAATAACCTTAAACCTTAATAATTAATACTTTATTCTTCAATCTATATTTTTCTGTTTCATTTTTGTAAAAAATACACAAAAATGTTATACATATATTCTTTTCTTTTTTAAAACTGGTGTTTTTGATACAAAATATAATAGTAAAATTAATTGCTTAAAAAAATATTGCATTTAATTCAGTTTTTATGGATAATGAGTTATTAATTCGTTCTTTATTAATAAGTGATTGATGATGAAAAAAAAAATTTTTGATCACGTGATTTGTATAAAAATTTGTTTATTAATTTTTTTTAAAACGACGTTTTAAATTCCTGGCATATTTCCTAATTATAGTTATAATTATTGCAATCAAATGCTCTTAACTTACTTTGTTCTCTTTAAAAATAATTAGTGCTTTTAATTATTATATCAATGACATTCTGGTTCAAAATAAAATTTTAATTTTGATTTCCATTTATTGCATTAAACAATAAAAGTGTTTTTTTAGAATGTAAAAATATTTATATAAATTAATTTAAATTTTTATTGCGTTAGTTAATATTACAATATTAAATAAATTTGTTTTAGAGTTTAAAATTCGGTTAATTTCTTATTTGAAATCAGTTGACGATTTTGATTAAATATACAATTTAATTTTCGAAGTTTAAATGAAATATGTGACACAAAAACTAATTTTGTTGCCTTAAAAATTAACTAGTATTTTTATTTTCAAATTTTACTTGTAAAACTTGATTATTTTTAAACAAGTAGCAATTTTTACTAACAAAATTTAAAGTATTTAGGTTTTGCATTTAATTTATTTCGTTTTTGTTTTTTTTTTCTTGAAAATGTGTTAGTATTTTTTATTTTTTAAATCGATAGCATTTTAGGCAAATAGCATATTTATAATATTAATTTTTAATAGATATTTATAATATAATTAATCAACTTTTTTATTTTTATGAATGTACTACATTTCTGGTACTTACAATCATGTAGCTAGTATATTTATCATATAATGGTTTTTAATTTAAAAAATGGATGGCGTTTTTAATACACAACATATTTATAAAGTTAATTGAATTTTTTCACGAATAAAATATTGATGTTAATATTAATTAAAGCGTCAATTTTACAATCAAAGTGCATTTTAAAATAAAATTATTCATTATTATATTTATATTAATAATATCTAGATATTGATGACTTTACATTAAGCAAAAATTTGGTCTTATTAATTTATTTCAACAATGTAAATGTGCTATGAAAATGCAAAAGTTTTAATAATTCTTTTCACAAATAACGAATTGAAAATTTATTTAAATCACTTAATACTTAAAATTCATTAAAATTGAATCCTACAAAAAATATAAGTACGATTTCCCAAAAAAACTTATAAAAAACAAAAATAAATTTATGAATTATTAAATAAGTAATTTTATTAAACTGTTAATATTAAATATATTAAATTATATATATATATATATATATATATATGACATGTGTTAAATAAACATTTTAACAAATAAATATGATAAATGGTGAAAAAAAAGTTCTGAACACAAAAATTCATTCGTAATATTTTTTTTATTAATTACAATCTGTCTTTATACAAAAAAGACGTTCAGTAATTATTCACAAAATTAGAGGCAATTTTTAGGTATCTTGTTAAAGAAAAATGCATCTTAAGATTGCAATTTATGAATAAAAAATCAAGTGCTAAATTATTTCTGGTTTATCTCAAATATCGTGAAACGTTTTTATAAACTAACAAATATATTATTGAAAATTTGTTCATTAGTTTTATCTAAACATTAACAAAATCATTGTTTCGTAAAAATCTGTTGTTAATATAAATTGTTTGCGAACTTAAGAAATATTCACTAAATATCAATTACGGTTTTTCTCTTAAATTTGAACTGTAATATGATAAAAAAAACAGATGTGAATCCTTTAAAACTAGTTTCGAAACCAGAAGTCGTCCAGAATGTTTATCTATTTTATTATCATGCTCCTAGGTCAGTTTTTGATAAAAGAAGTATTTACTCTCGTTTTTTAATTTCATAAAAAAAGTACAGGAAGATTTTCTTTATAGTGTTAACAGAGATAAGATTTGAGATAAATCAAATATGTTTTGTAAAACCCTTTTGTCGTGAGAAAAATGGCATATATATGTATATATATATGTATATATATATATATATATATATATATATACATAACATTGCAATAAAATTGATTAAACATATAATATAGAAAGTAAAAAAATTTAAAGAAAAAATCATTTTACTTCTTTAACAATTTACAAAATAAATTAAAATGTCTTAATAATTATACCTAAAAGATTCAATTTTTAAAAATTTCCCAACTTCTATTAAGTTTTTATAAATTGACAATCAAACTTGTTCTTCCATTTTTTTATTAAAATTTTTAAAATAAGTATATATCGTAGAATTTTCTCTACTTTTTCTGGAATCTAATTTGTAATACATATTTATAATGACGACAAAGTCCAAGTGTGCAATTATATACTTTTATACAAGAAACAATTCTCAAGTGACAACAAATGATAACCTAATCAAGTTTTTGTTCCAAATAGGATTTATTTTGCTGATTTCAACAATTTTTGGCCATAATTATGCATTTAGTAAAAAATTAAAAAATGGATAAATACGCAATGAAAATATGTTTATAAAAATAGTTTTTGAGTCTGATTAACCTCTAATTCAATCCAGTAATTTTTTTTTCAAAAAAATTAACAAACCGGGATAATCTTTAATTAAATTTCCATCGAAGATGAAAGTACTCCAATTAATTAAATTTTGAAACCTTTTTTATGGATTCTATTTTTAACTTGTATATTGCAAATATAGAGTGAATGCTCAAGTTTACTAAACTTTATATTTTATATTATCAAATCTCTTTATTTTATATTTTTTTATTCTTCTTTATAAATTTATAATCTAAATTTCTACGATTTTTTTTTTGTCATAAAAACACAATTTTATTACCTGTAAAATATAACACAAGTTGCCATCTCATTTTATCAATTATCAATATTTTTTTATTTTATAATTAATAAATTACCGATATTATTCCAAAAATAAAGTATTCCAAATTCTAAGAAAATTGACTAACTAACCTTAGGTTTATTATTTATACTTAAAATGCAAATTAAAATCCCAAAAATTTTATTATTCTATATTCTATATCCTACTCTATATTCTATATTTTTTAATTTAACTTTGTTTTTTCTACGTTAGTTCTGCAAATACAAAATTATTTTTAATTTTTTTATAATTACACAAAAATGTTTTCAGCATGTATTATCAAATTTTCAAATTTTCAAGTCAAATTCTATCATATTCTAATTAATTTTTTTTTCTTTATCGTCAATTAACTAAATCGACTAAAATTATGAAAACCGTGTTTTACTACCCAAAAAATATTGACACAATATCAAGTAGTCTATATTACACATTCTATACCATATTCTATATTCTAACATATTTATATATAAATAATATATTCTGAAGGAAAAATCTAAGTAACTTTTTGTTATAAAAATATTAACTTGTTTCTAAACTATTTAAAGTTTTTGAATCTTATTCTATATTTTATATTGTAACAAAATTATCTGAAACACTTTTTTCATCTATATAAAAACACAAACTTAATCACACTTTACTGATTCTATCGAATTTTATTCTAAATTCTATTTAATAAATTTTATTTAAAAATAATGAAAACATTGTGCGTATAATTCTTATTATTATCTATAATCTATTTATGTATTCTAAAAGTACATAATTTTTTTACTCGAAAACGTCCCTAAATACTATCTTATTCTATTATATTCTATATAGTATGTTTCGATTTTGAATTTTATATTCTATCAATTTTTATTTTACATTCTAAATAAATTATCTAAAAAGCTTATTTTATTTTAGTAAAAATTACAAACCAAAAAAATATTGCCGTTATATAAAATTGTCAATAAATTCTGTCATTTTCATTCTATATTCTATGTACTACATAAATCAACAAAATGATTTTTTTAAACAAAAACAAAAATTTATTACTTAAAAAATTTATTGTAATTTATTCCAAATTCTACATTCTATCTCTATTTATTCTATATTCTATCAAATTCTATTTTAAATTCTTCATTTAACTAAAAAAATTGTTTAAGTTATTAACACGTAAATAAATCACTAAAAAAAATACGCTTTATTTTATTCTATATTTTGTCATTCTATATTCTGACCAAATTAACTAATTCATTACTTGATAAATATTCTCACTATTCAAAGTTTTAATCAAATTCTATCATATTTTATCTTTATT